GTGTTTTGAGCATCACTCTTCGTGAGTAAGCTCAATATTCCTTTTTCTAGGGTATATTTGATCTTCATTGCAATGTCTCTTTTTCTAGAATATAATTTATTTACCTAACAAAATAAAAAATGCCCTCCTTTGCTGATAATCTGCAGTTGCTGTCTTGAAGTTCATTTCTCCCAAAAGATCTAAAAGCACACTGACACAGGTTAGGCTTATAGTTTATGCTTTGCAAAGCAACTAAAAGAAGGGCAAAAAATTCAGGTTTTATAAGAGATGATTTTTTTGGTTACTTCTGAGAAGCAATAAAGAATTGAAAGAATCATCATCAGAGTTCCAGACTCTGTACGGCCCATATCATTAGAAAATGACATACCATATCATTAGAAAATGACATAGGATATGAAAATCGCACATCGAGACACATAATGTTCCCACCTTGAAGCAGTTTTTTTTTCCTACTTAAAAATGTGTATTATCTAACTAATACTACTTTTTAAATATTCTAAAATTCCTTTTTTCCTATATAAGAGAAATGCACAATAAAGTATTGCTCTCCAAAATTGATTGGTGGATAAAAACACAACATAAAGCATACATTCACGGATGACTTAGTCTCCACTTTGACCATAGTAAGCTCTGTGAAAGAGGTAAATCATACTGTTTACCTCAAGAGACAAAAGAGTTTGGATAGAGTCATATACCAAGAGGAGCAACCAATTTTTATTCAACCAGGCAAAAAAGTCATTTTTACACCCTCAAACTTTTAAAGAACAGAACAGCTGGTTTTGATCCATTAACAAGATAGGCGATTATGTCACCAAATAATTACCAGAATTAAAGTGTGACACATATGTTGACTGAATTCAGTGATCAATCAACGATGGAAATTATAATAGATAGAAAAGACAGATGAACGCCAAGAGAAAGAGTTACCTCGGTGAAAGGTTCCTTGATGTTGTCACTTTCAACACTACTCTCCTGAACAGAAAAAAGTACCAGTGGGATACTCAGTTGAAATCTTTAATCTCACCATCTAACTGATTGAAAAAGAAGCATATGCGATAGAACAATAATAAAACTGAAGTGACCAAACGTTTTTTTAAAAATAGGAAATACTGCCACTGTCTAATAATTCCAGCAAGTACATATCTGATCACTTACATAGTTTGGAAAGATAACCATATCCACATTCTTTGGCACATCAAGCAGCAACCGACTCAAGGAATACTCCCGAGCACCGGCCGGGTGTAACAATTCATCAGTATCCAGATGAATTATCCAGTCCATTCCAGAATCCTAGCATTTCAACATGTAACACGTTCCATTGATTAAAGAACATCAGAATCTATTGTCTATAATGAAAAATGATAGCTGACCATGATGTGCAAGAGTATAAACATTCATACCCTTGCCATGACAATAGCCATCTCCATATTAAGAGATTGCTTCACAAAAAGCTCGTAGTTGCATGGTTTGTAAAAGAAACTTGACAGCCACGTCTCATTCCAGATCCGGCTAACATAACAACAATGGAATTAGTTATTGCGTAAGTAATAGTTAATAGAGATGTATAAGATGATTTAATTTTTATGTTGGATGACTGTTTATGTTGTATTTGTTCCTTTTCAAGTCCTGGATCCCTTATCCACTATTATGTACCGGTCATCTCCATTTTATTTAATAAAATATTTGTTTCTTATCAAAAAAATAGAGATGTATAAGATGACAGGTCAAAAAGTAGCATAGGTCAAACAAATGGCAGTGACAAGGGGTGAATACAACAGAAATTGGAAAAAAAAAATTACATGAACAAAAAAAAAGGGCAGGAACAGAAAGAAGCATCATCAGTTCTGTTTGTGTCTCTCCAGTTCAGCCCAAATATTCAAGAGGTTGTAACTCAACCATGGAAATAGCAGACACAACTAACCTCTTTGCTTGTTGCTCTTCTAGATCTCTTGTTCTGTATATTACTTTTACTCCCTGAGAAAGAAACAAGAACTCATGCTCAGCAAATAGAAACAACCTGATTCATACATTATACTGTCAAAAACAATATTAATAAGAAACTCTATGAAAGAATAGAAAAAAGTATATAGAAAACAAACTCACTGGAATAGATTCCAGGACTTTGGATACACTAGGAGATGCAGCCCTTCCTTCCACAAAAAGAAAAAAGGTTGAAACCCCAATAGCTTTATGATAGAACATCCATGGCAGAATCTGCTCTAACCCAGCAGAGGTACTTGTCGTAATGCATATCTACACATTGAGATGCAGAACAACATAAGGTCATGAATAATCACTAACACTACTTTTCTGTTAATACAGCCTGAAATTTTGATATGGTATAGGGCACAAGTACTATGAAAGAATAAGGTGTACTTCACAAGCACAATACGGAAACAAATAGAAGCAAGAAAACTACATCAGCAGCAGAAAAATCTTGATATGTGGCAACTCCAAGAGGTTAATGACCCTTGACTGTTGTAGTGCTGTTAATTGCTTCTGCAACTGCCTCTCTCCAACTGTTCAAATAACTCCTCTTCTATAGGTTTGCCCAATTCCATTTTCCCACGAGAGAGAATTCCAACCAAGTACCTCTAATCCACTCCTCCATCAATGCAATTAGAACAAAACAATCCCTCTCTACTGTCAACTTGTCCGAATACATTATCCATTAAACCTTTTTTGTAACTAGTGCAATGCAAATTGCCAATTGCAGTAGCCCATTAAATCTGAAATGTGTATCACTGTATCCATAATTGACTGATGCGAGGCACCACAAAAAAAGTGGACAACTACCGTGACAAGGTCTCGCCACTCTCAAAATAAAAGTTATCTATCTGCGAGCACCGAAGGTAAATGTGACAAAATCCACCAGCCTCCCTGCGAAAAGGATATTCCTCATTGGGACTTACAGACAACGCAAATTACCACCTCTACATAACAAACATCCGAAGGGATCCTCACAACTCAGCAGCCCTAGGGGACATGGAATCCATAGGCAGCCTGTGAATTTAAAATTTCCTGATGGAATATGGTTGTTTGTCCTACCCAAAAAATCACAGGATGAAGTTCTGCCTCAAATAGGGAAGTGTAAATCTCCCCTAAAGGGAAGTGACACAGCAACCCAAACGAAACAAGCATGATTGTCAACCTCCGTACAAAGGTAGCTATGCCCAGCCTGTACAAAGAACCCGGTTTGCCCAAGTACATGTACTATAAATACCCCTGACCCAGCTTTTGCCTACTTATGTGTTGTGTGGGTGTCAATGTATATGAATGCACTTTAGTCATTGAGTTCTTGACAGCCTCAAAAAAATATGAGACTTAAGTTTTTTTCCCCTAGACACAACAGTGAAGGCAATATTCATGGATTGTTTTATTTGTCCATCTTTCTTTCTGTTTTGTCATTTACAATGGATTCTCAATCTCACATTGGCCTTCTCCAAATGAAAATGGTTACCAATACATACTTGGCCATCCTTTTAGTTGCCTCAGAGTCTGTGGTTCACAATGAGGGACCTGATACCAAGAGAAACACAAAACAGAATTTAATGGAGGGCCTCTGGTCTTGTGTTTGAGAAGGCATAGAGGAGGCATCTGTGTCATGCAGAAGCTTATTAAGACAATGGCACTGCGTGTATTCCTATTACCATTGAAAAAAATGTAGATCAGCACTAATAGCAGAGTGCCTAGAGCAATTAGTACAGGCGCATGGTCATCTAACCTAGTAATCATATAGAATGCACTCTTAAACTTTCTGGGAAACGAGGGAATAGTGTCCATAACTAAGCTTCTTGTTATATATTAGATTCAAAAACCGAGAGAAAAAAAATCCATCTGACTAGGATCATAATAGTGCAAGAAGATGAAAGTGCCGAAGGTAAGATTGGGGAGTGTTAGGTCACCAAAGTTTGACCAAGAAACCTAAGTCAACTGTGCGTGCAGGATCTTGCACAATATAAACACGAGAACAGATCTCTCTCGTGGTGAACTCGAGTCAGTCAATCGAATGGTCAACCTTGCTGCTCGGAACAGACTGTGAGGTCCGGTGGTGGCCTGGAACGGTAATGGGTGACTTTCGTGGATCAACGGAACGGTCCAGTAAGGCTGAGGGAGCCTCCTGGAACAGAAAAAAAATGAGTTAGGAGGGCGCCGGAGTGTTTTCCGGCGTATCCCCTCCGACGATCAAGTCAGTTTTTGAGAGAGGGGAAGGAGAAAACACTGTATATTTTTGAGAAAAAGGTTTTTTGTTGCATACCGTCTTGCCTTTTATGAGGAGTATTTATACCTCAAAACTCATGATTGCTGTCAGTAGGTGATCATTAGATACGGGCAATGTGCACACTGATTCCTATGAGGAATGTCTTCTCTCTTAACTGCTCGGGACCCCGAGCAATCAATGCTTCGTCATCGGCCTGCCGAATGTTTAATGAGCTTCTCTCGGCAAGGATGTAATAAATGCCCAGTCATGGGGACATTTATTACCTTTCACTTTCGAGCCTTCCTGTATTAAATGATGTCTCATCAAGGGAATGGTGCACTAAATGCTTGCTTTCCCAAGTCATGTGTTAGCAAGGGCATCTCGGTCTTTTTGTCTCTGATCTGACACAATATGCCACGCGCCCATTCCCCATTGGTTGTGTCTTCTGCCTTCTTGTGCCTTCTGACACCAATTGTGTAAGACGAAGTTATGATGGCTAACCTAGCCTAGCTTAGGCTAGTGACTTGTACATCAATAGCCTCTACAGGAGCAGAGAACGCATCCTGGACGGGTACATCTCGGTACCGAGGGGAGTGGTACATGTAGGGACCGATGTACCCATATCCGACCGAGGGATACGTGTCGATACGTAAACGTATTGGGTGTCATTGATCCTTATGAACAATACCTCGGGGGAAGAGGGACTTGTGAACCGACGGATACATGTCGTGATCACAGTAACAAGGATTTACTGATGCCGAGGACACGTGTCTTCATCTTGGAGTATTTGGAAATGTCCCATCAACTGCCCCCAGCCTTCGATCTCCTGACACCGAGGACACGCGTCGTAAGGAGACGAAAGGTTCTGCAACTACCCCAACTATTTCATCATTGCCTCTAGCCACTTTCCCTGCTTAGGAAGTCGTGCGCATTAAATGCGCCTCTTCATGCTTCGTGCCCAAATGATGGGGATGGGTACTATATAAACGGGCTTCCTCTCTCCCTCTCTCATTTCGCCATTTCGAACTTCTGCAGAGAGCCCTTGCCTGAAACCTCACCGGAGATCCCTTCCCTTTCACTGTCAACTGCCTAATCTTTCACCAGAGTCTCAAGGCCAGCAGACCCATCCTTGCTTCTGAACATCCTAGGGGAAGGAATCACTTCAAGTTTTCAAGAAAAACTTCCGTTTACGTTCTGGTGAGTCCTTGTATCTTCCCTCTCTTCGCCCTTCTGTCTCTTCTTTTCTTCTTCTCGCCGTTTTTATTTTCTTTTGATTTTTCGATAATCGGAGGTGTTTCTGGTTGTCATTCTGTGACCAACCCTCGGGAAGCCTCCTCGGGGATCATCGTGGGAAAACCCCTCCCTTCTTCCTCAATTTTCATCATTTTTGGAGAAGCCCCGACGTCGCCCCCCCGCCCCTGAGAATCCTCAGGCTAGTTCCTCGAGGCCAGGGAAGTACAAAGTGAAGGGGGACGAGCAGATTAATAGTTTAGGGTCCAGTATCGCATCCCCCTATATGTAAACATAAAGGATTATAACTCGGCTGTGCATTCCCGTACCCTCGGGGCCGAGGATGAGATGCCCTTTTATACTAAAGCCATCATAGAGGGTGGAATTAGGTTCCCTCTGCCCCCTCTACTCCTCCAGTTCCTCTCTCATTTCCACCTCTTCCCCGGGCAGTGTTACCTCAATGTCTTCAGGATAATAATGGGAGTCTTAGAGCTCAACAAGAGTCTCGGGGTAAATGTTGGGTTGAACGATATCCTCTTTTGCTACTCCCTCTTGAGGGTCATGCCTCAGCAAAACTTCTACCTCAAAGCTAGGGACCCATCCATGTACCTCGTAACTCACCTTCCTGATTCGGACAAGGGGTACAAGGATGACCTGCTGATCTTCAAGGGGTCCTGACAGAGGGGTGCCGGTCCCGAATACGATGGTCTGTTATGCCCTTTGGAAATGGAGAACGACAAGTACGTCGGCTTCTTCGAGTCTATTATTTTGTTCTTGAGATTTTTTAGAAGTGTTCATAACTCCCTCTCCATTCTCTTTTTTTTTGTGTAGACGTCTCCGCTCGGGAAACAGCTCCTCCACTTCGGTCCTTGGTAAACTTTACCGACCTCGTCACTGTTTGGAGATTTGTTGGCGACGACGGGTTCGGCTGGGCTGCTCACGTTCTTCTAAACTACCGGATATAAAAAGTTCTCACAGCTCCCCCAGCCTTTCGAGCCTTCGCGGTGGTCTGAACTCTTCGATCAGGCTGCGCAACAAGAGGTCGAGGAGAATTTGGAGGAAGACCGCGACCGGGCTACAGAGGCCGAAGTAGAGGGTGTTGTTGAAGTTGAGGAGTTCGGGGCCAGGGAGGCTTTTGTTCCTTCGTACGTCGAGGTGGGGACTTCGGGGAGAGATTCGTGGCCTGACTTCCAAATCCTGCAGTCCCTAGACGAGGAGGACGCCCTCGAGGTAGCCATATCGAACACGCCTCGCATAGATCTGGAGTTCCTGAGGCAGAGGCAGGCCCTCGCTGTCGGGAGGGGACGAGGATCAACTAGCGGGGCCCCATCTTCAAGAGCCGTTGGTCGGGGTCAAGTGCGTGACCGAGATTCTCAGGTAGAGGAGGAGAGGAGGATCAAACAAAGGCACGACGGCCTTGGCAGGGGATCCAGGGCCCCCTCCGCTCAGCAGCAAAGCGGGAGAGGCCGTGGGTTACTTCCTCCTCCCCAATAGCAACAGCAACAACTGAGGCAACAACAACAGCAACAGCAGCAGAGGCAGACTCCACCTCCCCCTCCACAGACGGTGGAAGCCGCAGAGTGGAATCCCCGGGCCACTGATCACATGAACCGAGTGATCAGGGTTGATGACTCCATTTTGCAAGACCCCCATGTTGCCAACGCGGTGGGTGAAACGCTGCACTTCAAGGCCGACATGGTGGCTCACAGGGGGCGATCAACGAATGCATTGTTTCGTTCTATCATTCAGAATTCCTTGGTGGTAAGTTCATCTTCGCTTCAGTCTTTTCTAGCCGTGTTACTTTTTATTGACATACCCTTTCCTTTGCAGGCCACCCAAAAGATTTTCATAATCGCTGCGCGGTATCATGTAGCTAGGATGGACCTCCAGCGGGTGCAAGAGCAAAAGGAAGAAGCCGAGGGAGCCCTGACTAGTGCCAAGGAGGATATAGCTGCCAGGGATTCTACTCTCGCGGGACAGGCTGCTCAGATTGAGTAACTCCTCAAGGACGGCGAATTGGCGAAGGTCGGCGCTGAAAAGCTAAGTGCTGCCTTGGCCGACGCTAAGAGGAGGATTACAGAGTAGACGCAACGGCTCTCTGCGGCAAAGAGAGGGTTGTCGGTTCAGAGGAGAGCTGGCTGGCTCTGACCTAGGAGCTGGACAGGATCAGGCTGAGGCAGAGAATAGGAAGTCTGAGGAACAACTCCGAGGGAGTTCGCCAACGACGTGCTACCTGCTCTTGAGGAAAATAGCAGAGTTTTTCAAGAAGGGGTGAGACGAGGCGCTCCGGTCTGCTGGGATCCCTCCAGACTCTCCTCTCTTCCAGATGCACAAATACGTGCCATCGGCGGAGATGGAACAGGGTGAGGCCGAGATTGCTGCTGAGGGTGCAACTCCAACGTCGATGCAAGTTTCGGCAGATCCGCCCGAGGCGGTAATTTTGGATTTAACTGATGAGGTTCTGTCGGACCAAGCCCCTGATCATAATATCCCTCAGACTCTCCCTATTGCCGAATCACTCACAGCTCCGTCTGCTCCCGAAGCTGCTCAACCCTTTTGCGCTGATTCGCCCTGCAACGATGTGCTGGAGATACCTGGGGCCAGATGAAGATTTATTTATTATTATTTTTTTTAACTGTACTCATTTTCTTCTTTTTGTAGCTCTTGGGGACGCAAAGCCCCTCTTTTGAAATAAAACTTTTTTATTTGCTCTTGCATTTTCTTGCATGCATCCTCTTCTCTTTTTTTTCTTTTTAACGACCTTGATATCCCCGACACCTGGGGAGTTATTCTGTCGGTCCACCTGATTGGTTTAGCTTCATCATTGCTAGGGACCGTACGCATCCACGGGGGCTTGCCCATCATGAAAGTTTATTCGTACTCTTTATTTCGAGGCACGAGTCTTTGAACTCTACATCCAGGGCCTTACCCTCCGAGGGGGCTTGCCCCAGTGTTTCCTCCCTTCTTTTTCTTTCGGGGCAAGAGTCCTTGAACTCTGTCCCCAGGGCCTTACCCTTCCAAGAGGCATGCTCCTTCTTTTTCCTTCGGGGGCAGGAGTCCTTGAACTCTGTCCCCAAGGCCTTACCCTTCCAGGATGCTTGCTCCTGTTTTTCCTTCGGTTGTACCTTAGCCGTTGGTAAGCACTGAAGGAAATAATACTCAAAATAGTATTTCTTTAGATTTATCACATTCCAATGTCGTATTATAGATTTCCCTTCCATATCTTCTAATCTATATGACCCAGAGCCTCCGATAAATACCACTTTGTAGGGCCTTTCCCAATTAGGTCTCATTTTTCCTTCTTTGCTAGATCACGGGTATTGACCGTTATCCTTTTAAGGACCAGATCGCCAATTTGAAACTCTCGTGCCTTGACCCTTTTGTTGTGAAGTTGGAAATCTTTTCCTGATACTTGGCTACTCTCAAGGCGGCTATCTCCCTTCTTTCCTCTGCGAGATCCAAATCCAGTCCGAGTTGGCGGTCATTTCACCCTGTGTCGAAGGCCTGCGTCCTTATGGTTGGAAGTCCCACTTTCAGAGGTATGATTGCTTCCATCCCGTAAGTTAGGGAGTAAAGGGTTTCTCCTGTCGAGGATCGAGGGATGGTTCTATACGCCCATAAAATATTCAAAAGCTCATCCATCCATTTTTCCTTAACTTTTTCCAATCTCTTCTTGATCCCATTGATAATTGTTTTGTTGGAGGCTTCTGTCTGCCCATTGGCTTGGGGGTAGGCAGGGGTGGAATAGAAATTACGGATTCCGAGTTGCTCGCAAAAAGATTTGAAACGCCTGTCGGTGAATTAAGTCCCGTTATCCGATACAAGTGCTCGGGGAATCCCGAATCTAATGATTATATTTTTCCAGACAAACTTTTTAGCATCTATGTCGCGGATGTGAGTCAATGGCTCTGCCTCAACCCACTTGGTGAAATAATCCGTCGCCACAATGAGGAACTTCTTGTTTCCAAGAGCCTTAGGTAGAGGTCCAACTAAGTCAAGTCCCCACTGGGCGAATGGCCAAGGGCTGGTCAAGGGGTACAAGTCCCCCGCGGATTGTTTGATTGCTGGGGAGAACCTCTGACATTGGTCGTATTTTTGGACATATGCGTGTGCGTCCTTTTGCTTCCGCGGCCACCAATATCCTTGAGTCATGATACGGTGTGCCATGGATCGCCCCCCAGAATGCCCCCTGCATATTCTTTCGTGTACCTCATAGAGGAGGTCTTCCACCTGATCCTCCTGGACGCATAATAGGTAAGGTCCTGAGAAAGACCTTCGATATAGCTTCTGATCCGGAGAGACCAAAACCCTTGGGGCTTTAAGTTTTATCTTCCTGGCTTCCTTTAAACACTCCGGGAGGTCTCTTGTTACTAGGAACCTGAGAAAAGGATCAATCCAGCTAGGTAGCTTGTGTGTGTCCTAGACGGTCATTGCCTCGGGGGCTTGGTCTATGCAGGAGGTGGGAAGGTATTTTATGGTGATTCTGCGTGACCGAGAGGACTCCAGTGCCGAGGCTAGGCAAGCCAGGGCGTTGGCATGCGCGTTCTTGTCTCGGGATACTTGTTTGATCTCAATCTTTTCGAACTTGCGGATTACAGTTGTCGCCTTGTGATGGTAAGCCTTCATCCTAGGGTCCCTTGTCTCAAACTCTCCGTTAACTTGGTTCACTACCAGCATGAAATCGCAATGTACGATCAAGTCTATAACTCCAATTGCCTCGGCTAACCGAAGTCCTGAGATGAGGGCCTCATACTCAACTTCATTATTGGATGCTTTGAATCCCAGCCGAACGGCCTGCTCCGCGACCATCCCATCTGGAGAGACTAGCAAGATACCGATTCCGAACCCCTTACTGTTCGAGGAACCGTCTACACATAAAAGCCATGGTGATCCCTTACAACCTGTTGGGGACGCTATGCCGGGAGGAGGTGGTCTTTCTGGAAAGGGAGGTTCCCCTGAAAACTCCGCTATGAAGTCCGCCAACACCTGACCCTTTATAGCGGTTCGAGGTTTGAAATGAATGTCATGTTCCCCAACTCTACTGCCCACTTGGAAATTCTTCCAGAGAGGTCTGTTTTCCTCAAAATGGCCTTTAAGGGCTGATCGGTAAGGACGGTAATTGAGTGCGCCTGAAAATAATGCCTTAGTTTTCTTGCAGTTGTGACCAGGGATAGAGTCAGTTTCTCTAGGGGCAGGTATCTTGTCTCCGCATCCAAGAGCGCCTTGCTTATGTAATAAATCGGTTTCTGGCGGTGCTCATGCTCACGAATAAGTACCCCGCTGACTGCAAATTCTGATACGGATAAGTACAAGAAAAGCATTTTTCCCTGAATAGGGATGGATAGGGTCGGGAGAGTCCTGAGGTATTCCTTGATTCCTGTCAGGGCGTCTTCGCACCCCTGGCTCCACATATCCTTCCCAGCCCCTTGATGGCTCCAAAAAAGGGTTTGCATTTGTCTGAGGAGCGCGAAACGAAACGGTTAAGTGCTGCCAGCATCCCCATGAGCTTTTGGACTTCTCGGACAGTTCGGGGGCTCCGGATGTCTAGGATCGCTTGAATCTGATCCGGGTTAGCTTCGACTCCTCGCTGACTTACCAGATATCCGAGAAATTTACTCGACTCTACTCCAAAAATGCACTTTGCGGCGTTCAGCTTCAGCCCGTACTCCCTGAGGGTGGAGAAGGTATCCGGCAAATCTACCAGGTGGTCACAGCTTCGTTTGCTCTTCACTAACATATCATCAATGTAGATCTCCATGGTGTTGTCGATCTGTTTTTTGAACATCTGATTCATCAGTCTTTGGTATGTTGCCCCGGCGTTCTTCAACCCAAATGGCATCACTTTGTAACAGTAAACTCCCCTTAGAGTGATAAACGCCGTCTTTTCTTGATCCGGGGGGTGGAGAGGGATCTGGTGATATCCTACTCGGACATCCAAGAAGTCCATGCGTTGATATCCGGCAGTGGCATCTACTAACTGGTCCACCTTTGGCAGGGGGTAGTCGTCCTTGGGACATGCCTTGTTTAGATCAGTGAAGTCTACGCAGACGCGCCATTTTTCCCCCTTTTTCTTCGCGCAGACCGTGTTAGACAGCCATTCCGGGAACTGTACCTCCCGGATGGCATTGGCCTCTAAGAGTTTATTGATCTCTTCGTTGACCACTCGGGCGTGGTGCGGCGCCGTGGCTTCTGCTTCACTGGCTTGTGCGCCGGGTCAACATGCAGCTTGTGAGTGATAATTTCGGGATCCACTCCCTTCATCTCCATTGCGTTCCAAGCGAACACGTCTGCATTTTCCCTCAAGAAGTCAATCATCTCCTCCTGTTCGGCTGTGGGCATCGCGGTTCCAACCAAGAAGTACCTTTCTTCTTCTCCCTCCACCATGGACACCTTTCGGAGGTCCTCCACCGACCGTTCCGTCGGGTCAATCCGGGGGTGTCGTGATGGTGGCACCAGGAAGAGGGACTTGTGAACCGACGGGTATGTGTCGTGATCACAGTAACAAGGATTTACTGATGCCGAGGACACGTGTCTTTATCTTGGAGTATTTGGAAATGTCTCATCATCGACCATGCTTAAAATCAGAATTCCTTGCAAGTCATATAGTAATGAAATTACGATATTCCCAACTAACTCCACGGTTCATGCCAATGAAATAATATGATCACAATACAATGACAATGCCTCACTACATACATTCATTTGACCAAATTTCAACACCTCTTGATTGCCACACGTGGCAACACAGACCCACAAAAGTATTGGAGATCTGAACAACTTTCACAATCACCTTTGATGCTTTGCTCTTTTTTTTTCATCAGTTAATTTGATTACTTGGTTAAACATTGAAATGTTAGATTGCTGAACATTTGAAAACCGAGGTAAAAAAAATCACTTATCTAAACATACTACACCAAAGCCGTGTACAGACGGCATAAACACAAAATTTCAATTCCATTTTCTTTGCTTTGACTCAGTTTTCCAGCCAAACAAACAAACACTCCAACACCTGATCAAAAGCCTGAAACCCTATAAATCACTAAATCAAACAAAACCCACAAAAAAATGAATCAAGCCCACAAAGGCCCAGAATCAGATCAAGGCAAAGAAAGATGTACCAATTTCGGAAACAAACCTTAGGCTTAAGATCCGCTTCAAAATTGAACTTCCAATCCCTGTAGTAAGGAAAAGAAGGCGAAGAGCTGTGTCCAAGAACGCAATCAGAGGACTGAGAAGAAGAGTGGCCAACGGTTGCCAGAGGAGAACTGTCCATGCCCGGAAACTTGTGGGACTCCTCCGGAGACCACCGAGAAATGGGATCATCGATGCCACCACCACGCCATTGTAGAACGAATGCGAAGACAGCGAGGATGAGAGGGAGAAGGGTGAGGAGGAGGAGAAGTTTGGACGCGAATGAGTGCTGGGAGGAGGAAGGTGGTTGGGGTCTGAGAGAAGGGTACAGACCCGCCATTGGAGAGAGAGAGAGGGAGAGACTTTTGTTTTGTGTTTGTTTTGAATACGTTGCCCCTAATATTAGTAGTAGTAGTCTATAATTGTTCATGAATTTAACTCCTTTTCTTACTTTCTAAACACAAATAGCCCCATAAACAAAAAAAATCATTAGATATATACTAGTAAAATCTAGTACAAAAACCTATGATTGTACTAAAATCATATGAAACCCAATAAAAATATTATACATTTTTTTGATCGACATCAAAAAATAATGAACATTAACCTATTAACTTTATAATGAGTTTGTATTAGAAATTGTTGACATGTCGAGGTAAATAAAAAAAAATATTTAGTTTAGATACAAATGAAATAATTTTTCGTTAAATACGTAATTGATGTCAATAATTGGTGTAATATGAAACTAATAATATCAAAAATATAATAGTTATGGGAACAAAATAAAAAAAACCATAGTTGAAGGGTCAAAGTTTAATTTGTCGTCAATAAAATTAAAGGCAAATGATAGTTTGTATCTTAAAAAATTATAAAATTTTCAATTTTTACTTTTAAAGAAAAATTATTTTAAACTACACCTTCAATAAAATTAATTGATAAAAATATGACTCCAACCATAATGCCCATTGTGATTTATGTGAAAAGGGGAATAATGATTATAATTCAACAAAAGTCATCACATGAATCATACGTAGCTGTTAATTTGATAAAAATCGCTATAGATGACGTTATGAATAGGACTCAGATTGCTATCAATTAATTTCTTCGAGAGTGCAATTTAAAACAACTGATCTTTCACGGTACAAATTTAATTTTTTAGGGTGCAAACTGCTATTTGGCCTATAATTTAAAAAGTGTTCCATTTCATTTAAAAATACTCTCTGCCTTGCTTCTCCTACAATAACTAAAAAACACATCCTATATTTAGAATGTTTGAATTATATTTTCCGCTTAAAACAAAGTGTCTCTGTCTCTGTCTGTCTCTCTCTCTCTCTCTCTCTCTCTCTCTCTCTCTCTCTCTCTCTCTCTCTATTTTCTATTCAAGAACTAACGTGATAAACCTAGGCTACGTTCATCGCAAACGATCTACTCTTATCAGTGTTCAGCAATACATTCTCTGGACAACATGAGTGCTTCTCAGGTTGGTATTGTTGGTTCTTGATAATCTGAACATAATCGGTTTACGTTTTTTTTTTTTTTTTTCATATGGATAGATTGAGTCACGAAAACAGTGTATATGTGTGTGGAACTATAGTGCTGCTGGAGCGTGTTGAAGTGCAAAAAAACTTTACACACAGTGCTGGCTCCACCCCGAGGCAAGTGAGACAGCCGCCTAGGATCCCACTTGGCCTTATTTGCGTATGACTCACAAAATTATGTGAATAATTTTTTTTTTAAAACAATTAGGATATTTTGTAAAATGATCAAAAATATTTTAAAAATATTTTTATTTAAATCATAAATATATGTACATCCAAAAAAAAAAAAATTATCGCAACATAGTCTTGTACACAAATTACAAGGTTAGACGCTCTTATTTTATCTAAATTTACAATACTCTGATTTATTTATTTAATTTATTTTCTTGAACTATAATTTTTGAGTTAAGTTAATTTTAATATAATCAGTTATATAATGTGTTTGTTTTGTAAGTTATTTTTTACTTTAAATATACCTATTAAAAGATATGAATTTAAATATTTAAAATTTAAAAATAAACATAAAAATAAATAAATTATTCACCTAAAAATAATTTAGGGCCCATCTAAAATTTTTACCCATTCTTGGCCGGCCACGCTTACACAATGGGTTTTTTTGGGATATGGTTCAAGACTCAAGTGGTGGTCCTGATCTACATCTAAAATCAAGAGGGTGTTTTTTTTTTTTTGAACTTAGTTGGAGAACTTGCCTTTGTTTTCTTTAATCCCATTGTTTGTCCACAGTATATTTTAAGGCATATGAAATGAATAGGGTTGTGAGTTATGAAGTATGGATACTTTATCAAAATTGACATATTCGTATCGAATATGATACTCGGATATTCGAAGATACACATTATATTTATTAATTAATAAAATATGTAAATACTTCACGGATATTTTTACACATGGAGCAAGATGTACAATTTTTAATTTTAATTTATACCATTTCTGTTCTAGTTTTCATACAATACACAATATTAATTAAATTCTATTTGATTTTAAAGACACAAGTGCTTTTTAAGCATTATCAATTATTACATGTTAAAAGAGTACAAAAAAATGAGTTTGTTACATTACAATTTTAGAAACAAATACTTGTAAACAAACCAATAAATTTTTTATAGGATTAAAGTAGATGAAAATTAAATTAATCTTGTCTGAATGTATTGCTTTTCACTTTCTATTGCAGATGATACTATTTGGGTCATTTACAGAAGAAGAAACCAGGGCATGGCTGAAGTTATCTGAAGCACAAGCTAGTTCTAAGAATTCCAGGCTAAAACGAGTTGTTAGTGAGTTAGTATTTGGCAGTTTCAAAGGGCCACTTGGTTCTCCTCAGCCCTCCAATATTACTAATACCATCATAAACTGTACAACTTTGAAAGAAAACGGACTCATTCCTAATCTGGTCCATTGCCCTCTCAGCAATGGCAAGAAAGGACCAAAAGGAATAGTTGGCCTTGATTCTACTTCTTCACACATCCGATAATGCAAGGGAAACTTCAAAACAATATCGTCCCATTGTGACACTGAAAGGTCTTGTTGGTGGAAATGCAAGGGAAGTGGATTCCATTGGGACTATCCACAATTCATCGGTAGTAACACATGTTGTAGAAGATAGCCAGAAGGGCTGCAATGGGCTTGTTGGCCCTGTCGAAGACTTACTACCTCGAGGCTTAATCAACTCAGGAAATCTATGCTTTCTCAATGCTACGTTACAGGCTCTTTTATCCTGTTCTACATTGGTTCAGCTAGTACAGGAACTAAGAATGGACAATGTTGACAAGGTATGTTCTTTTTTGTTCTTAGTTCTATATATTTAAAGAAATTTGAAAGGTTGTAAGCACTTCTGTAGTACTATTAATTGTCTACATGTTTATCTACGAAAGGGACGTTCTGACGCTTGATTTCTTTTCCCAGGTTGGCTATCCCAGTTTAGCTGCGTTTGTGGAGTTTGTTTCTCAGTTTGACATGCCTAATGGTGTAAGAGCAAACAAGAAAGATGCAAATGTTATTGAGATTGGCAGGCCTTTCAGTCCTGCCATGTTTGGAAGTGTTCTGAAAAAATTTACTCCTCATGTATCTAGTACCATCTCAGGGAGGCCAAGGTATGTTTTTTATTTTTATTTTTTTTGCATCTGTCCTTTTATCTTCTGATTATTTATTTATTTATTTTTTTCTTCGTAATGTTGATTCATGTCTTCGAAAGCCTTGGACAGTTAGTTTCTGTGACTGCACAGACCTGTTTTTTGGTTACAAAGGAAGACAGAACCTGTTTTACTGAAAAAAGTTGTACCACTGACTTAGACTATTTGTTAGGAAGTATTAGTGAAAAATGGTCATGTCAACTTTCTTGGATAAGTTTGTAACAGTTAGTTTCTGTGACTGCACAGACCTGTTTTTTGGTTACAAAGGAAGACAGAACCTGTTTTACTGAAAAAAGTTGTACCACTGACTTAGACTATTTGTTAGGAAGTATTAGTGAAAAATGGTCATGTCAACTTTCTTGGATAAGTTTGTAACAGTTAGTTTCTGTGACTGCACAGACCTGTTTTTTGGTTACAAAGGAAGACAGAACCTGTTTTACTGAAAAAAGTTGTACCACTGACTCAGACTATTTGTTAGGAAGTATTAGTGAAAAATGGTCATGTCAACTTTCTTGGATAAGTTTGTAACAGTAATTATTATCCTTTTCAGGCAAGAAGATGCACAGGAGTTTCTGAGTTTCGTCATTGATCAAATGCATGATGAACTAGTTAAGCTTAAGGGACAATTATCAAGAGCGAATGGGGGAAAATCATCTCTTAATTATTCTAAAGAAGATAACGAATGGAAGACAGTTGGCCGGGACAACAAATCTGCAGTGACAAGAACTCAAACCTTCATTCCATCAGAGCTAAGTGAAATTTTTGGAGGACAATTGAGAAGTGTTGTGAGGGCAAGAGGTAAGAGTATGTGGTACCTGAAATGACTGCATTCTACACTATGCTGCTTGCAAAATAACATATGATTTGTAATAGATTCGCCAAATTATAGGCCAAATGTTAATTTTGAGTTTGATGCCAAGAAAGGCGTCCCAACTGTTCCTGATTGATCAAGTTCCTGTCTACTATTAATAGTCTTTTGTACTTCTTTCCCCATAAAAATGTGTCATTTATTTTTCATACCATTGTTCAAAACATTTCCTTCCTCTCATTGTATAGAAAGATTGATGATTTTGCCAATCTATGTGTAACAGGACACAAAGCATCTGAAACTGCTCAACCATTTCTCTTGCTCCAGCTCAATATTGCCCATGAAACTGTTCATACTATTGAAGATGCTCGTCATCTGTTTTCTGCACCCGAAACACCTGATGATTATCGAATATCAACAGCCGAAAAGGTAATTTGTCTAAACATTTTCTTGAATTCTAGTGCTGCCTTTCTTCGATTTGTTATGTTGGGGAGAGGGCACTACAAAACCTCTTGTAAACCAATTTAGACTTTAAAACATCTTGATTGTGAATTGGTTAAGTGTTTCTTAGTGCATGATTGACATAAGCACTTTTGGATCAGATCAAACAAATATGTAACAAAGATCATATCTTTTCATGATCGATATGATCTAGTTACCCTCATTTCAGTTGACTAGTATGTCATGTCTGTTCGACATCAGTTGGTAATCAAATATTATTCATTACTTTTCAGACTGAAGTTGTGGCTGCCAAAAAATCTATAAAGATAGAGACACTCCCTAAGATACTGATATTGCACTTAGTACGTTTTGACTATGGAATCTATGGGATGACCAAACTGAATAAGCCAGTGGGATTCCCTCTTGAATTGGTGCTAAGTCGCGACTTACTTGTTTCTTCGACTACTGAGGTAAGTTCTTTATACAGTCTTCGTTTCTTAACTAACCGTTCTTGGCCAACAGAATAAAATTAAGAAAAAGAAATCAATCTAGTCAGGGAATTATGTTTGTTTTATACAGAGTTACTAGTTATTGTCTGTGCCTGAAGATACAAAATAATAAAAAATAGTAAACAATAAATATATATGTATTCATATCCAAAATCAAATCACAAACATAAATGAGAGATAAATAAATTTAAGCATTGGTTGTAGTGGGGGTGAGAGGTAATGGGCAACATGGTGGTAGGAGATAGTGATGGTTGTAATGGGAGACAATGACCGTGGTGGTGGTGATGACGATGGTGATGGTGGTGGCGGCGATAGTGGTAATAGTGGCCACGGTGGCGGTGGTGGTGGGGGGTGGCGATTGTGGTAGTGGTGGTGGCGACGACAACGGCAATGGCGGTGGTGGTGGTGGTGGTGGCGATGGTGGTGGTAGATGTGGTGGCAGGAGTGGTGGTGGTGGTGATGGTAGTAGAGATAGTGGTGGTGGGGATGGTGGTGGTAGAGGTAATGATGGAGCGGTTGAAAACACTATTTTTTTTAAAATACTTATGAAAAATAATTCTTAGAAGTACTTTTAAAAATTCACTTCAAACATATTTTTGAGGCCCAATTTTTCCTATTAAATTTAGGGTATTAATATTAGCCATTAGATTAACTTTAAAATAAAATTTAAAGCGATCTGAACCGCGAAAAATAAAAGTTATTTTTTTTTATTTTTGAAATTTGAATTATAAACTACTTTATTATATAGATATCTCTCCTTTGTGATATTGTCGCGCTAATGGTTTTTTATACCCTCATAGCATTTCATCTCTATCGTTCAAATACAGTCATATACGAGTTTGAACAAGTCATATAATCGATATTAAGCATATAGTCATCACTTTTTTACTTGATTTGTGTAATCCAACTCTGTTTTGAATAAAAGTTCATAGAGCAGAAGTGAAGATCACAAGCTCCTGAATTATAACTCTGTAAATTCTTCATCATCTTGGCTTTTGCAGGGGCGAAGATACGAACTTGTTTCAACGATAACTCATCATGGAAGGGAAGCTTCGAGGGGCATTATACTGCTGATGCGCGTTACTCTAATGGTCAGTGGTTGCGTTTTAATGATGCATCTGTCACTGCCATCGGCACAAGCGAGGTGTTGCATGATCAGGCCTATGTTCTCTTCTACAAACAAGTCAGATGATTAACAGAAGCAGCTTAAATGATCACCTACACCCTACAAAGTAGAAAGTCTAACAGTCATTAAAATGTATGACTTTATAATGTACAGAACTTAAATCTTTGTAAAAAGAACTATCACACATGCATCATTAAAATGTACAGAAGTTTCACCAATGTCAGCTGTGGATGAAGTCTTACGGTAAAGAAATTTAAGATGTACAAAAAAATTGTAATTATTCTTTTATTTAATTAAAATGGTTATGCTATGCAACCTTCTTTTGATATCAAGAAGGGTGGAGTACTATTAGATACACAAGTGTACTCTTTTGAAATGTTGAGCAGACCATAAACCTTCCACATTTTATGGATGGATTAGAACAAAATACACTTCGACAATGATAAATTAAAAAGAGTTACTAGTAATTTTAGTCCTTGAAATATGTATTTTGTATCAGTTTAATCATCATTGTATCAATTTTGTCAATTTGATTCCTAAAATATTCAATTCGTATAATTTTAATCTCTATATAGACGGACCGTTAAATTTTTGACAAAATAATCAAGTGTTGAGCACGTGATACCGTCTAAAAAAATTAACACATGGTCACTTCTATTAAAAAACTTGACGGATTATCTGATTAGAAATTAAACTGATACGAATTGAGTACTTTAAAGATAAAATTGATACAATGAGGACTAAACTGACAAAAAATATATACTTTAGGGACTAAAAATGTTATTAACTCAATAAAGAAATACGTTAGAAAATCACAATAAAGAAGGAATATAATTCAGAATTACCCTAAAATGGTAAAAAATTCTTAGCTATCCTTTGGCAAACACCATTAAAATGTATTACTATTGACACATTGACCATCGTATTGAACATATATTTAATTGCTCTTGGATGATTAGAAGAATAATTCTTTTTCTTTAATAAGTCTGTATGGTTACAATCTAGATGTGAAAATTAAGTAATAGATCGCATTTACTGTTTTTGTTCTCCATTTTTCTCAATGGCAGATCACCTATTACGAATAATCTAACAAAATTTGAGACCAGAACGCATGGAATTCTCGCCAAAGCATTTGGAAAAACAAATGAAACACATTTTTTTTTATTATTATTACCCTCCCATTGCAAAAAAAATTCAAAACATATATATATATTTTTCAAATTACGCCCTCCAAAACTCATTGGCATCATTAAGGGATTTTCAGATATCTGAAGATATGCGATGGCAACCAATGAGTTTAATGGTCGGTTATTAGAACTTGATTGGAATCGATAAAGTTTAACTTTGAGATCAAGAACCGAATCCCTCAACATACGATACTTATTTTTCTAAGTCACGTAAACATTCACTAATGAAAAACGACGATGATTTGAAAGAGACAGGGATATTTTGATAATTTCGATATCTTCAGCTCTCTTTCACTCTGTTACTCTGTGTGTGTGTGCGTTTTGTGAGTTCCATGGTGTAGATATAGGCGTTAAGGAAGGTTGAGTGGTCACGTTGGGACTTTGCATGGCTTTCATGCGTGAAGAGATTTACGTCGGTACAAGTTTTCAACATGAAATTCCATGTGATATTTGACGACACTTAGATTTTTTTTTGCTGAGCGAAAAAGAGGTGGGGATAAAGGAGAGTACACAAAGATCATCTTTGATAGGTTTTCAATGGTAAGATCTTGAGATCTTTGACCGCGTCTGTTATTTTTTTATAGAACGAACCTAATTAAGCTAACATAGTGGTCAACCACCGAACCCCAATGTGAATTTCAAGACTCGAACCTCTAACCTCTAGAAGTTCGGTCATTATCCCACTGAACCACCCCAAGTATACTTTTGGAAATCTCCTTTTTTAGGTAATTTTTCTTAGAAAACCTATTTACCTACTATTTTACAAAAGTGAAATACATGCGTTTTAGTATACGATTCATAAATTTATACATGCGCACATGTCTACTGTTACGATGTGATTATTGTTAAAGGAATAAGCCAAGCCAGAACAAAAAAATAGCAGCTTAAAAGATAAAACATACGGGTAAAAACGTTACCTAGAACAAAAATTTTATTTTTTTTTGGTACATTTTTTCAATCATCTATAAAATAAAAATGTTGTAAAAATATTTTGAAAATAACATGACAATGGATAAAAAAAATTTGAGTGTTTATTTTCAAAACATTCCAAAACATTTGTTTGAAATATACCGAAACATCTTAAAACATCTCGAAACATTCCGAAATAGTGGTGAAAATATGCGAAACATCTTGAAACATTCCAAAATACTTCAAAACATTAGAATTTTGATTTCATCACTTATTCATTTTAGTTTATTTGAAAATAAAAATGTTTCGACCGTTTCAAACCGAAATTTTAATATTTGGTTTGAAATACTAAACCCATGGCTATTTGTCGGTTCATGTTCAACCAAATTCGGTTGAGCAATACTACGTGAACTTAAAAAGTAGACTTAAAAATTAAACTTGATAATCTTAATCATTGATTTCACTGTAGGTTCCAGCATTTATTGGGACTCACTACCTATTCACTGGTTGAAATTATCAAGTCTAATTTTTAAGTCTACTTTTTAAGTCCATCTAACATTACTCAATTCGGTTTTAGTCTTAAGTTAAAGGGAGAAGCTTACCGTACCCGAAAAAAAAATTATGTATTGTACAAAATTGGTCAAGTACAATTTTTTTAATTAATTTTTTTTAAAAATTTTAAAGGTCATTTATAATTTTTGGGAGTGCTAGAGATTGATCCTAATGTTGTTACAATTAGTGCTAAAATATTAAAATCGATCCTAAAACTTTTAGAATCGAAAGTATCCAAAAAAATTATAAATAACCCCCAAAGAGTTATCACTTGAAACCTAAAAGTAATAAAATGACCCAAAAAGCTATAAATAAATTTAAAATTCTGTATCTCAATTCATAAAACTCGGAAAACTTAGTGATACGGTACCATTTTTTTCTACGTAGTCTCTCCTAATGTGTTGTAAGAAAAAATTTTGTTTTCAACTCATTCATTTTTATTGTGATTTACTCATATAAATTAAAACATTAATTGCACTATAATATTTAATTTTACTTTTTTTTTTCTAGTCTGAAAAAACAGAAAAAGGACCCACCTTGAGGAGGGGGAAGGGGAGTAGGAGCTTGTAGCATATTGCATATAGCCTAATATTGTTATTGAAAATAATAATAATACTATTCTCACTTTTTATTTAGCAAAAAAAAAAAAATATATATATATATATATATATATATACCATAGTTACTTGCCTTCATCACTTTTCGAAAAGTCTACAACTTTGAAATGTAGGTACACCGATAACATCTTTCTTATTTGGTGTTGTTTTTGATATCACCAGGAACTGTCATATTAGACTCATTTAAGCAAAGTAAATCTTAAATTATTGTAAGGAAACTCATCTATGTCTCCAAAAGCAACGATAACTCTCCACCAACAGATAGTGCCGGTCAACTCAGGAATTCAAATTTTAAAGTAATATCCACAAGGATACAGTCGGTATTTAAGAAACAGGGTAAAAAACATGAAACAAATTTTATTCTTGTTAATGTCTTATCCTCCAAATTCTATTGGGCTCACGCCATGGTGGGTCCTGCCCAAAGTAGACCCAAAATTGCGAACTAAACCCAGAATTACATACAAGACCCAATTTAAGAATGCAGGCTAGTCCCATTGCGGAAAGAAAGAAGTTAAGTCAACTGTGTCATCTTGACAGCGAGTTAGGTTAGTCGTCTCATGGCGAGAGACTCAATTCATAACTGATAGGAGAGGAGATCTCTTTGTGACGTGCATGTTGCCACTTGCACAAAATTATCTCACTTGTTATGAGAAGGGCCCCACCTCTGTCAAATTACCTCATTTGATACAAGAAAGACGCCTCAATCTATTCGAAAACACTTATAAATTATAAGTCCTATCTGCCCAAGGGGGTAGTTTACACATATCACTTATAATTGAGTATTCTACGTGCCTTGAAACAATAAAGCATTTAAGTCATCCTAACCCTTCACAGTAGAGTAGGTCACCTTGATTGAACAATTTAAATTGTGTATTACTTGTGTTGACTTTCCTCAGTTATTACTACATTAAATACTTAACAGGTGGTATATAAACATATTTTGTGCATCAACAAATATGGTTATGAATTGAACTAATTAAAATTAAATGGGTAAAATATATTTTTGGTTCCCCAAATATGCGTTTAGTGTCTATTTGGTCCATAATCTGTTAATTGCGTCTATTTGATTTCTAAGGTTCCTAATTTATATCTATATGGTCTAATCTCAAACGTCCATAAAAAAATTATTAACAACTTTAGTCACGTGTCAATCATGTGGGACCAGATAAACACAAATTAAGAATTTTAGAGATCAAATAGACAAAAAATTAGGAATCAAGTGATTGACATATGACAAGAACCGTCACGATTTATTGACAAACGTTTGAAATTGAACCACGTAAATACAAATTAGAAACATTAGAGACCAAATAGATACTAAACACATACTTTGAAAATAAAAAATATATTTTATCCAAACTAAATTTATACCAAATAATTTTGTATCAAGTTCACACATCGTGTAAAACATTATGAACCTCGCAACGAAAAGTCATACATACAACTCCCTATCTTGTTTTAAAATGAAATTCAAATTCCTGATGTAGAATCCAATTGTTTTATTTTTAGATGTGACATGGGATTGCCTTGTCTTCGGACAATTCCAAACCATCACTAGGTTACAACTGCATAACACATGAGACCACTAAAGTTTATCACTAGTGCTTGTCCCCTTCATGAGTCATTATCCTCTTGTCTTAGTGCCTAACTTTACCACTTTTTTTTTTTTAAGTTTGTCAGAAGCCACCTTCATATTAGCCACACATAACAACTCTCTAAACCTTAATAGATAAATAAATTGGTCAAAAATCTACTCAACATAAGATACTGGGTGAAGTCTCATCTTGGATCCTTTCGACAAACTT